TGTTAGTATATTTATTTGTATCTTTGAAAATACATGAAGAAATTCTCTGGATCTAGGTAATATCGCGTAGAATTTATTTCTACAAATTTCCATAATAGAATATTTAGATATTAGTGATAAATTATTGAAGGCCAGTAAATTTTACAATAACGTGATATGATAGCAAAATTTTATTTGAAATGCAATCACGAATAAAAGTACATTTTCAATAACGGAATATAAGATATTCTCAATTAAAATAAGTTGTGATGAACTTTGTTTTATGTTTAAATTTGATAACAAAACTTTATTACAGATTGTCGGACAAGTTTCAAATTGTCAGAGGTTCACATTGTTTTTTTCTACTAGTTAGCTTTTTTTTTACAAGTTGTGGCTATGTAGTTTAATAAAATAAATGCATATTTATGGATTCTTAAATATAAGTATTTTAATGGTTTCTGATAAATTTCAACTTATTGAAAATAATAACATGTTCAAAAAATTGGTTACAAAAATATTATATTAAACTTACAGGTATTTTCCATAAAAGCTTAAAAATTCGCATTACAATCTATTTTTTTAATCAAATGTGACGAAATTCGAAAATTTCAGAGTGAATACTTAGAGAGGATTAATAAAAAAATCCCAGCACAGTGGGGTGGTGGCACAGTTGGGATCAGTATAAATAATATCTGACAGAGATTAAAATCAATATCATAGATAACGTTTCGATGTATATCTGTAGATAGTGTTTAATTTTAAAAAATTGGTGGATTATTCCAAAAGCAACTTAATCTCTTATTTCCTTATTTATATTCTGATTACAAATTTTATAATTTTTAAGTGTAATATATGAATATATATGTTTATAATATATAAATATATAAAAGAAAATGGTCCGATTTAAAAAAAAATGTATATAAGATATTCTTATATAAGTATATAAGTATATAAAGATATAAGAATATATATAATAGATATAAAAATTATTTATCTTAAAAAAGTTATAATGATCCATACAATTTTCAAAAAATTATAGCATTATAAAATAAAAATATAAAAAAGAATTTATTTACAAAAAACTTTTTTTTTTATTAACTTTGATGTCTGATTTCACCATGAAGATAAAATAAAGTCCGAAATTTTTTTTTGCATAATATAGTATATTGCTTTAGTTTTAATTTAAGATATATATTAGGGTGGCCCTCCAAAATCGAATGTTTTTTTTTTTACGCTACCCCTTAATTTTTTTTTAATGGTCAAAAAAATGAGCTGTGCAAAATTTGGATTACGATAATTATATTAGATTTATTATTTCATGGACAGTTAATTAATGATTAATTACAAATTTAACAGTTTAATTTAATTGTTATTAACAATTTTTAATTTATTTTTTTTTAAATAATAATAACTTTAAAAAAAATATTTTAACAATAATTAAATTATATTATTATAATATATTTGTTGATAATGTACTTTTTTACAATTAGGAAATTTTTTCCGATAATTACTTACTATTTGTAAAACGTATTATTTCTGTTATTCATTTGTAGTTAATATATTAATGTAGTCTTAGATTAATTTAATACCACGCTAGGCGGTATCATTAATGACTCGTAATTTACTTATAGTATTTAAAGCATTTATGTAACTGTTGTTCGCACTCCAAAATGATGGATCAATTTTCAAAAAATCAGTGTTCAGATTAAATAATTGTAAATTTGATGGTAACTTACTACCAGTAATTTCGTGGGAATAATTACCAATAAGATAAATATTAGTTCGTAATAATTTAAAGACGCTAAAAGTATTGTACATTTGTGATTAAAACGTATCATTTAATATATAATAATAAACAGGTATAATATATTTAACGTGTTCACAAATTGTCTGCTGCATTTATNGCCCGCAAATGTGGGGAAATATCCAAAAAAATTACAAATGTAAAAATCGCTAATTTTCGAAATTTTTTAACTTTTTTTTCTTAAAACTTCCATAACTTTTTCAAAAATCAACAAATCATCATATTTTTTTTTATACTAAAACTTTAAATAACTACCTTTTATTTGATATCATTTTTTTGAAAATCTATCTCTTAACCTGCTCATTAGGGGGGATTTAAAATAGCAACTTTTTTACAAAAATTANTTGTCTATAAAATAATAAATCTAATATAATTATCGTACTTGGCATAAAAAATTAAACTTCTAGAATCTTTTTTTAAATGAATATGCGTTTTCCAAAAAATAAAATGAAAATAAATAATTAAAAATCAACAAAATCAGTTATAACGTATTTTAAGACTTTCACATGNATTTGTCCGGACACTTTTTCTTCTACATTTAAACGGCTGCCGTAGTTAAAAAACCACTATTTTTGTGTTAAAATTTTCGATTTTAAATTTTAAATTTTCAACTTAAAAATGCTATAACTTTTTGAAAAATGTATATATCAGCACAAATTTTTTTTTTCTAAATACATTATAAGTACATCTTTCATTTGACATACTTTTTATTAAAATTGGACAATTTCCCCTTATATAGGGGGCGTTCAAAACTTAAAATATTGTAAAAAACATAGATCTTTTTCAACTGAACTTTTGAAAATGTTCCGGAAATACTGCGTCCTTTAAACATATATCAAATCAAAGGTTATGTTATATACTATCAAATGAAAAAAAAAAATTTGTCCCGACATCTTATCTTCTATGTGCAAATGGCTGTCGAAAATTTAAAAAAAAATGTAATGTTTGCGATAAAAATTACATTTTATCGGGATGTTTTTTGTACTTAAAACTGCCATAACTTTTTCAAAAATGAACAAATAAAAATAATATTTTTTTGTATTGAAACCTTAGATATTTCCCTTTCATTTGATATAATTTTTTTTGAAAATCTAACACTTATTCTGCTCACTGGGGGGATTTAAAATAGCAACTTTTTTACAAAAAATAACTTTTTCAACTTAATTTTTGAAAATGTTCCGGAAATACTGCGTCCTTTAAACATATATCAAATTAAAGCTTATTTTATGTACTATAAAATGAAAAAAAAAAATTTGTCCCGACACTTTTTTTTCTACATTTAAACGGCTGCCGTAGTTAAAAAAACACTATTTTTGTGTTAAAATTTTCGATTTTCGATTTTAAATTTTCAACTTAAAAATGCTATAACTTTTTGAAAAATGTATATATCAGCACAAATTTTTTTTTCTAAATACATTATAAGTACATCATTCATTTGGCATACTTTTTATTAAAATTGGACAATTTCCCCTTATATAGGGGGCGTTCAAAACTTGAAATATTGTAAAAAACATAGATCTTTNTTCCCAAATTTTGCACAGCTCATTTTTTTGACCATAAAAAAAAAATTAAGGAGTAGCGTAAAAAAAAAAAAGACATTCGATTTTTGAGGGCCACCCTAATATATATATATATAAATATATATATAATAAGTAATTAATAATTTATGAAGTATTTTAAGGATTAAAGGTGTACTTCTCCTATTCAAGATCACATCTACAATGGTAGAAATATGCTAAAATTGTAAATGCCAAAGATGAACATAATAATTAAATTAGAAACACGACCTCTAGAATTGTGTGTATTTTAAGTTTTAAAAGATTTTCAAAAGCACGTATTTATATTTATCTTATTATATTAAAAATAAAAGAAATCATGACAATTAAAAACGAATTGTTTTCGTTTTTGTGTATTATGGAAATTTATATTAAGATTGTATTCACTGTAATTAATATAATAGAACGACAAGTTGTCATGCGTTTTTTAGCATCGATGCGAATCCGAGAAAGTATTGGTTTTACTATTATGTGTTTTTTTTTGTGCTGTGACTAATTTTTCTCAGCTATCACGGAACCGGTTTCTTTCAACAATACGTCAAAAAGATCACAAATAGTATCTAGTCGAAAACATTACCCTTAAAAATTGAAAAAATTTCCCTTGTTCTCCGTAAATGGGGGAAATCTTTAAAAATATTACAAATTTAAATAAATTTACATAAAATTGCCATTACTTTTTAATAAATAGATAAATAGAAAAAATTTATTTTTATATATGCTCATAGAGGGATTCAAAATGATAATTTTTCACCAAAAAATAATTTTTTTCAATTTATGTTTTGGAAATGTTCCGAAAACACTGACACTTTTATACATATCTTAAATTAATGCTTATGTAATATAATTTGATATGAAAAAAAATGTTTTTAACTTAAGTTTGTCTTTATGGTGAAAATGGCTACCATATTCAAAAATATGCTATTTTTATGTGAAAAATTCTTGGTTTTGTTTTTTATTTTATTTTAAAATACCTTATAAGGGGAGCACACTGATTTTCATAAATATAATATAAATAAAATTTACATACCATATGTAAATTTTTTTAAGCCGAGGAAAATAAATTTGAAATTTTGAACTAGCCTAAATCGCTATTTTTATTGATGTACTCATGTATTTATCAGCTTTGAGCTGTACACATTGTGAGATTTAACCTCATATTTTAAAATCAAATCAGTGGTTAAAGTGTGTGTAGACGAAGGAAGACGGAGTCCCCCTTCTTATTTGGAGTACAATTTCGCGTCCACTTTATGTCGAATCCAAAAATTCTGGAAAGACGCATTAATTTTTTGCACTGAAGAGGGAAAAACGTTAATTTAAGAAATCTATTCGAATGAAACAATAGGTAGATTCTAATCTATCTATTCATTGAGATATTTTATTTTCTCCAATTAAATATATTTGCTTATTATGATCAATATAATTTTTAGCCTTTGAGGGCAAACATTTCAGTGTTGCTCGGGAACGTCCTCATTTTTAAAGAACTATAGTCCCCCTTTCTAGTTTTTTACCCTTTAACTACTGTCTCAAACCAAAATATTATTGTACCTACTATCTAGATGGATACAACTAAAAGATATGCAAATATATTAATTTTATCAGATATTATAATACTTGTTGAAAATAAAATTTAACTTTATTATCATAATGAGAGTTTTACTTACCATTTTGAACTTCATCAAAGAATTTGTTTGCAATATCACTATCATTCATTTTGTGTATCGGAGAAAAAAGTTTAAATAAGGCTACAAAAATATCTAAAGACATACCATTTAAAGGGTCCATATTATTACTATAATAATTAATCGAAGTGTTCTTTGCTTCTTTATTCAATCCGTTGTTCTAAAATAAATAATTGAATTATATAAATTTAGAATTAATAATAATATAAATTAAATTTTTTAGATAAAACAGTTTTAAACGCTGATACAAAATCATTTTCATAAAAAACTAATCGATGCAAATTTGTAGATAGTACTTAATTTTTATATGAAATTGTTGGATTATTCCACAAGCAAATCAACTCTTATTTCCTTAAGCATATCCTGATGAAAACTTTTATCATTTATAGGTAAATTACATAAATAAATCATTAGTATAGTAATTACATTTATTATGATATTGGTATTCAATTATTTAATATGCTAACTTTATCGGAAAATATATATAAAAAAAAAGAAAAGAAAATATTTATAATTAACACTTAAATCATATAAATTTTATTTTTTGTAAATGAGAGGGAGCACTAATGTAGCACTTACCTCCCACAAATTATATCTAGCCAAAGAAATTAGCATTGAACATTGAAAAAAATTCCCACATTCCCGTAAATGGAGGAAATCACTCAAAGAATTACTATTTTAAAAATCGGTAATTTTAAACATTTTTTTAACTTTTATTTTCGTAAAACTGCCATAACTTTTTTAAACATGAACTTTAATTTGAAAAAGATATTTGACCTCTAGATATGTCTTTGTAGTGAAAACTGACATTAAAGTTAAAGAAAAAATTATCATTTTTGTATAAAATTTCTCACACAACAACACTGCATAACACGGAAAAAACCGCAAAATTGCCTATATTTGACCCCTGAAAAAAGGTTGATACTCAGACGTCTTAATGAAAAAGATTTCAATTTACAACTGTATATTATTGAAAATGGTGGTCCCCCTATTAGAAAATGACTGGATCAAAATCTTAGGTATGAAGTTAAATATTGACCTTGAAATTAATAATATAACTGAAGATTTTATAAGTAAGGTAAATTAACTAATTACTAGTTTTACTGAAGTGTTTACTGATAAATTAGGTACTTATAGTAAAAGTAAATGTAAATTATTTTTAAAAGATAATTTTAAACCAATTTTTTTAAGACCCAGACCATTGCTATTTAGCATTAAAGATCAGTTAGGATTTGATTTGGATAGGTTAGTACATGAAGGTATTTTAACACCTGTTGAGACTTGTAATTTTGGAACTCCAATAGTTCCATTATTAAAAGCAAATGGAACTATTCGCATTTGTGGTGATAATAAAGTCACACTTAATCCTTACGTGAAGGTAGATAGGTATCCATTACATTGAATAGAAGACTTATTTTCAAATATTAGTGGTAATGTATTATGGTCAAAAGTTGACTTATCACAAGGCTATACACAATTATTGATTGAAGAAAATTCAAAATAGATTTTAACATTATCAACTCATAAAGGCTTATATGTACGTAATAGGTTAATGTATATTAAGAAAACTTAATAATAAATTTGATTTAATTTTAAATAAGTTCAATTGTAAAACAAATATTAATGATAACGAAAGTTTGAAAGACAAAGTTGAACTTAGTCAGAAAAATCAAATAGTATATAGAGGTTTTATAAAGGTAAAAGGAAAAAAAATTTTAAAATAGGTGACATTGTGGTATTAGCAAGAAATTATGGTAGAGGACAAATTACAATTCTTTTTGAGTTAGAATAAATTTTCAACTCATTTGATTTTTATCTCATTTAGTTACAATAACTTCAATAAAGATCAAGGATCCCATCACTGTAGTCGCCCATTGCGAGAAGAAATTTCTTATTTATATTAAAATTATTTTACTATATTTTAGGTTTTAGCTTCAATGCAAAGATGAAAAAGTATTTTTTTGTGACTATCATTTATTTTCTCATCTCTAACTTGACCTACTCTTTTCAACGATACCTCAAGACTACAATTTGTATCTAGTTGAAGATATTACCCTCAAAAATTGAANTCATAAACTATCTGATTATAATTTTTCTTATTTTAAAATATAAAGTAACACATATACTCAGACACCAAGTATAAAAAGGAACTACAGTGAAGTAATATTTCAAGTTTAATAATTTGCATAATTTTACAAAAATTAATAAGTAGATAAAAGTCAGTGCTCTCTTTTATTTATATTCTTTTTACAACAAACGATCAAACTAGCCGGACACAAGGTAAGAAATTATATTTCTAAGCATGTCATAAAATTAAGGGTAGACTTAAGATAAATCAAGAATAACTTTTATCGAGGGAATAATAGAATTGATAAAGGTGGATAATTTGAAAAGTTATTAATAACTACTTTCTCACCATTCGGGTCATAATAGTGCGCGTTCAATGTAGATGTTTTAACCTGTATTATACAATTACAAAAAGAAAATAATTCAGCCATTAAGGCTTGGCGCCCAACAATTGGACAGTAGCATCTTACATGAACACACGCTGTTTCCCATTCATATAGCATGACCAATAAATATTAAGAGTCGTAAAATCCTCCTCCGTAATCATTGCACATTTCATTGTAGAATTAATATGACTCAGGTGTGAATCATCCGAATATAATTTTCCTTCAATTTACTTTTTACGACAAACTACGCGCAGTGGTAGTATCTTAATAACGAGTTCATGGATATATATATTGTATGCTATATTTTCACCTTGTAGTTAAACGTACTTCAACAATCCGTTAACCATAACATCTATATATATAACATCTACATTCTATTATTATTCCTTTTGCTTAATTATAAAAAAATATAAATATCACACATATGGCCGCTTATTTTATTTCCTTCATCATCCTTCATTATAATAATTTCTCTTCATTCTTTTTATTAGTATAATCCATATCCTATATAACAACCCCCTTATTGCTATTTCTTAATTTTTTTATGACAAAAGCAAATGGAACTATTCGCATTTGTGGTGATAATAAAGTCACACTTAATCCTTACGTGAAGGTAGATAGGTATCCATTACATTGAATAGAAGACTTATTTTCAAATATTAGTGGTAATGTATTATGGTCAAAAGTTGACTTATCACAAGGCTATACACAATTATTGATTGAAGAAAATTCAAAATAGATTTTAACATTATCAACTCATAAAGGCTTATATGTACGTAATAGGTTAATGTATATTAAGAAAACTTAATAATAAATTTGATTTAATTTTAAATAAGTTCAATTGTAAAACAAATATTAATGATAACGAAAGTTTGAAAGACAAAGTTGAACTTAGTCAGAAAAATCAAATAGTATATAGAGGTTTTATAAAGGTAAAAGGAAAAAAAATTTTAAAATAGGTGACATTGTGGTATTAGCAAGAAATTATGGTAGAGGACAAATTACAATTCTTTTTGAGTTAGAATAAATTTTCAACTCATTTGATTTTTATCTCATTTAGTTACAATAACTTCAATAAAGATCAAGGATCCCATCACTGTAGTCGCCCATTGCGAGAAGAAATTTCTTATTTATATTAAAATTATTTTACTATATTTTAGGTTTTAGCTTCAATGCAAAGATGAAAAAGTATTTTTTTGTGACTATCATTTATTTTCTCATCTCTAACTTGACCTACTCTTTTCAACGATACCTCAAGACTACAATTTGTATCTAGTTGAAGATATTACCCTCAAAAATTGAATAAAAATTCTAGTTTATCCATTAAACAGTTACTTATCCCATGTTCTCCATACAGACATTTAAAATCGTATATTTCTAATGTTTTCAAAGTATTTATTAACGAATCAAGTTTGTAATGATAATTTGATATTATAGGTTTCAACTACAAAATTAAATCATTTTACTTTGTAATTTAATAATTTTTTTATTCTATGTGTGTTTGCTAGACTATAATATTCCAAATTTTTTGGTAACATGTTCCTATATAAATCATTTCTAAAAAAAAATTATTGATAGAGTCTCTTAAATTAATAATGGATTTTTAAAATTATAATCAAATTTTATAACACGCTATTGAGTAGATTTTTTTAACAATTTTTTGATTAATTTTTTTAGATAAAGTAAATTATTAAAATTAATTCGATTTATATTTCAATTGTAGAAAATTTTAAACACCAAAAGTTACTAGGAAATTATTACTACTATTTCTATTTAAGTATCTATTACGATAAAAATGCAAAAAAATATTGAGCTACTCTAACAAATTTACTATAAATAGTAATTATAAAAAGTCCTAACTGCTTTTAATCTTATGGATACAATTTTTTTAAATCTCATAAAATTTTCTATTTAATAATGATAATTTCAAACTTGCAAATTGAGGTAAAAGTAATGATAATAAATAAAATTTTTTTTTGATATAAGCTTTCACAAAAATCAACTTTAAAGGATTAAAAAATAGGTTAAAAATGAAAATTTGGACTGATTATGTTTAACATAATAAAAATCAAAATCAGTAATAATCTGAAAACAATTTTTTTTTCTTTTAATTATTATTTTATATGTAATTAGTAATAATATAAAAAATTAAAAGTGATAAAAAAAGTCTAAATGCAGATTTCAAAACAACGTGAGAAGTTGATTTAGAAAAATATATTTTTGCTTCTGATGAAAGATTCTTGTAGATCAGTGAATTTATTTATAGTCACAATCAGTTTTTATTAAAAAATTTTGCATCAAACCCTTTAAATTTTTATACACGTAAAAGTACAGCAATTTACAAAACTTTGTTATTTTTATAATTTCTCCGTATAAATTACAATATTAAATTTTTGAATATCATTTTCATACTAAATTTAATAACTATAATTAGTATTTATTCATATATTATATTTTAAAATCAAAGAACTACTAATCAGGACATAATTAATAAAAAAAGAGTTGATGTTGCTGAGAACATTTAACTATTTATTTTTACTAAAAAATAAATAATATCATAAATAATATTAAAAATTAAATAATATCGTTTTACCTCCTCGTCCAAAGGTGGAAATTTGAAAAGAAATGCGTTTGTAAAACTAGTAGTTAGATACATCATGATAAAAATGTTGTAATACATTATTGGATTAATAAATCGACGTTTTCGAATAAAACTGATAATTTTAACAGTTGAAATGATAGTATAATTAAAATTCTATTTATTTTATAACGATACTATATTGATTTAATGTTAAAAAAACGTATTTTTTAAGTATTTTTAAAATAGAAATAATAGCGTTAAATAAATTAATATGTGATAATTCTTATTTAAAACTAAGTAAACATATTATTTATTGATGAAGGTGCAGAAACTAGTTTTATATAATTATTTTATTGTCAACATTGTACTGAAATTTAAGTCTATAAATTAATAAACCCAGACGTTTTGCAGTTGTTTTTTTTTTAAATTTCTGCTTAATTTTTCAATAAATAGTTATAATAAATTATTATAACTATTATAATTATTATTATAGTAAATAATTTATTTTGATTTATTTTATTAGTCATGTTTCTTATTTACTTCTCTGATGTATTAATAGTTATATGATTTGTAATGGAACCTACAATATAAGAAAATAGTCGTATTTCATAGTATACAAAACATTTATCGACTCATTTACCTTAAACTAAAGCTTCTATAATATACAATATTAAAAAAAATATACCTCTAGACATGTTTTTGTGGTTAAAATGAACATCAAAGTTAAATTCAAAAAAATTTAATAAATTGTTCCACTTATAGTTCAAACAACATCAATCAGGTTACCATTAATAAAATCAGTGTTAATGTTGCTTTTGTAATCATCCACAATTGTCTTAGAATTAAACACTATATATAGATTTGCATTGAAGCGTTTTTTATGATAGTGATTTTAATCACTGTCAGATATTATCTATACTCGTCCAATGTATGCTTCATCCATACTGTGTGCCTCGCCACACCTTGCTATTGTTTTTTTTTTTATATGCAAATACTCGTTTTTTACTAATTAGTAATTATCTAAAAAAGATGTGATAGAAAAAATCTAATTGTTAATTTTAAATCGGCACAAAATGGTTTAGAAAAATATATTCTGGTATCTGATAGAAATTCCTTGTAGACCAGTGTATTTATTCATAAGTAACAAAAATGTATTTATATATAATACATATACATGATAAAACTACTAATCATCTATACTTGCTACCGTTTTTTTATATAAGGTAGTTAAATCAAAAAGAAAAAAAAACTGAAATCAGTTTTAGAAAAATTTCCATTTAAAAGCGCTCCTTTTTTGTTAAAAATAAAAAATTAAAATCCACTTATATTTTTGTGATTTTGATATGGTAACCATAGTTTAAAATTAAAGTATTAGCTACATTTTAAATATCGCATTACTAGCTATATTCATGAGATTTTATTCTCGAATAAAAACCATTGCAAATTTTTTTTATTTTAAACTTAAATTTGAATTAAATTTGATGCGTTGTGTAAAAATGCTATATCTATATAAGATTTGTCTTTTTAAATCCCTCCCTGTGGCCAAGTAAAGGGTTAAAGTTATGAAAAAAATATACCAAATAATAGGTAATGATATCATGCATCTATTAAAAAAAATTATATTGATTTAATTATTTTTTAAAAAGTTATGACAATTTTAAGTAAAAAAAATTTTTAAAAATTTCGAAAATTAGTGAGTTTTAAATTTATAATTTTTTTGGAGATTTCCCCCATTTACGGGAAATTTTAAAAAAAGTCAGCTAAAAATATTAACTGGATCAAAAGTTATTTAAGTTGTCAGTGAGTGGTGGGCCACCTTGTATATAAAAGCGTCAGACCTTCCAAAAATCTTTCAAAAGTAAAGTTTAAAGAGTTAATTTTTTGTAAAAAAGTTGTCATTTTAAATCTTCCTTTGGGCAGGTGGGAAAGGGTCAGATTTATGAAAAAAGAATATCAATGATAGGAAAAGACATCAATCATCTATAAAAAATAATTATATTGGTGTGTTAATTTTTGAAAAAGTTATGGCAGTTTTTAGTAAAAAAAATTTCGAAAATTAGCGGTTTTTAAATTTATAATTTTTTTGAAGATTTCCCCCATTTACGGGAAACGAGGGAAATTTTTTCAATTTTTGAGGGTAACGTCTTCGGTTAGATACGATTTGTGATCTTTTGACGTATCGTGGAAAGAAATCCGTTCGGTGAGAGCTGAGAAAAAGTGGTAACAGACAAAAAAAAAAAAACACATAGTAAAACATATACCTTCTCAGCTTCGCATCGAAGCTAAAATAGATAAATAATTTTAAAAAATTGATGTTTCAGAAATTAATTAACATTTATCTCCATGATAATAAAACTAAATCATTATTATTTTATAAATAAATTAACTTAAATTAAAAGATTCACCAAAACAGATTTCACTTTAAATTTATTCTATGTTTCATTTAATTTGAAAAAAAATACCCTAAATCCATATTGAAATAAAAAAAAACCTAGTCCCAGAAAGCCAGAATTTTGAGTAGTGTCGCAGATTATGTGTATTTTGAAATTGTTGAAAGAATTGATTCTAATCGGAAAAAATGGGTTTTTATAGTCAGATGAGGGTAGTTTAGTGATTTCTAGCGTGATTTTGGAAGCTAGAATCATTGTTAAATATGATTGGCTTGACTTAATTGAGGATCTACATTTAGGCCTTAAATCTATACAATAATCAGATTTCATCTCCTAGTTAACTGGTTAAATTTTGTTCTAAAGAAACTAAATATCATTTTGTTTCATTTGTTTCATAACATTAACATCCTTTAATGTTATTAATGTCATTATTTAAAGTGTCAAAAAAATACTTATTGTACAGATTGTTTTTCTAATAAAAAAAAAATCCTTCCTGCTAAGTTTAAAAACTAAACAACGACACTTGAGGTTAATTACGTTTAACAATAGTACAACATACTACTTGACACCGCTCGCTGACAAGTCACACAGAGTAAGACTAACCCAAGTAATTTGTGACAGCCGAACAATCCGAGATCACAACATACTGACTAGCGTGACAATAATTTTGTAAATTTTGCACTTTCACAACAATCATAAATATTTTATAATTAAATTTTTGGTCATGTTAAATCATGAGCTAATTATCGTATGATATAATACTGTAGAGTGGCTTGAAACACTTAATAACAGCCAAGCTAATCAAAATAAATAAAATTGTGTCTTAATATTTTTGTATTTCATAGTACTTAAGAAACAATACTATTAATAATATAAAAATTATAAATTTTTTTTTTAAGGTCAATCAATTTGAAAAAAAATATATATTTGAGATTTTAAATAGTTTTGTCTTTTGTAAAAGAAAATAAGCTCATAAATTACCATTATTATACCATATTATAAAACACCTGTTATGTTTTATAAAAAGGCAATTTTAAGATAATTATAATGTATAATTTTACATTTACGATAATATATCAAAAATACATTTGCTTAAATCGTAAATAAAAAACCCAGCACAGTGGGATGGCGGCACAGTGGGATCGTGGCATAGTTGGGTCCAGTATGGATGATATCTGACAGTGATTAAAATCACTATCATAAAAAACGCTTCGATGCAAATCTGTAGATAGTGTTCAATTTAAAAAAAAAGTTTGTTAAAATAGCATATTTTTGAATATGGTAGCCATTTGCGCATAGAAGATAGGTCGTCGTGACAAATTTTTTTTTTTCATTTTACAGTACATAAAAAAAGCTTTAATTTGATATATATTTGAAGGACGCAGTATTTCAGGAACATTTTCAAAAATTAAGTCGAAAAAGTCCATTTTTGTAAAAAAGTTACTATTTTAAATCCCCTCCAATGAGCAGGTTAAGTGATAGATTTTCAAAAAAATATATCACATGAAAGAAAAATATATAAGGTTTTAGTATAAAAAAAATTATGTTGATTTGTTGATTTTTCAAAAAGTTATGGAAGTTTTAAGAAAAAAAGTGAAAAAAATGACAAAATTTACCGATTATTAAATTTGTAATTTTTTTGGATATTTCCCCCATTTTCGGGGAACGAGGGAATTTTTTTTCAATTTTTAAGGATAATGTCTCCAACTAGATATGATTTTTGATCTTTTGAAGTATTTTTGAAAGAAATCGGTCCAGTTAGAGCTGAGAAAAAATGGCAACAGATATAAAAAAAAAAAAAACACATCGTAGTAAAATTAATACCATCTAAGCTTCGCATCGAAGCTAAAAAATTATAATTGAAAAGTATTTGATTTAAGTATTTATTAATATTTTCAAAATATCATATATTTTAGCTTACACATTATTTTTAAAAAAGTTATAAATTTATAAGATTAGTGAATATTATTTTTCTACTTAAAACATACATAAAATTATCAGCCAAATTGCAAAAAAATAATATTTAAAAAAAATTTAAGCTTGCTTGAGATTTACTAGAAATATACCATATAATGACGTTAATTATGATATCCATGCTATCAATTTTTGACATACAATTTTGAAACTAATAAATTTGTATTCTACAGTAAAAATCAAACTATATTGATATTATTATCATAATATTTGACCAAAAATTGAATAATAGATGCAGTATGTTGTTTATTGGGTTATTTTCAATAGCGGCTTGTGGCTTGGACGAAGGGACGATCGCACCCCCTACTAAAATTAATTAAAAGAAGAAAATTAATTATATATTTTAGGTATATTATAAGCGAGGCTTTTAATCGGTAAAATATTAGTATATTACAAAAATTGGGTGATTTATTTTTAGAATTAACTACGTGTACGATCGTCATTTCGTCGGTTGCTATAATAGTATAATTGCTATTATTTTTAATATCTTCATTTCTATTTTCTACTGCGACTTTTAAAATAATAACATGTGTATTGTGATTTATTTTATTATATTTAATTTGACAAATTTTTATACCTATGATATGCGATATTATATTTTAAGTCGCACTCCCACCATCAGCACCCACGAACCACCACTGGGTTTTTTGGTCAAATTAAAACTAAAAACACGTTGAGCGACCAGTAAAATTTTTTTAAAAATCTCAAATCATCAAAAAATGCCTATTTTAATATATAAAATAAAGTTAAAATGGTTCTCATTAAAATTTCGAAGATGGGTTTTTTTTTTATCCAACCTAGTGTCTATTAGTAGA